TTGTCCCCGCAGATGTGTCCCCCGTGGTGGCCGGGCTGTTGGGCGCCGCCGTCCTGGTGCTRTCGGTGTCGCTGACGGTGTTGGTGTGGACGTGCTGTCACCGGGCGGCCTCCAAAAACCCCCAAACGCCGCCCTACAAATTCATCCACATGCTGAAAGGCATCAGCATCTACCCCGAAACCCTGAGCAACAAGAAGAAAATCCAGCGGATCCGCCGCGAGAAAAACGGCAAAGACGACAACGGTGACGCCGAGTCCGGCCGTGCCACGACCGCGCCGCAGCTGGAGCAGCTCCCAGTTAAACCCGACTACCCCGAACTAAGCCCGGATCAAAGCCTAACCCCCGCCGGCAGCAAAACCTCATCTCCATCCTCTCCGGGAGATGAGGAGGAGGCGGCGCTGGGCGAGCTGAGCTTTTGGGTGGATTACAACTTCCCCAAAAAAGCGCTGGTGGTCGGAATCCAACGCGCGCGGGGGCTGCCGGCCATGGACGAGAACTCCCAAAGCTCCGACCCCTACGTCAAAATGACCATCCTGCCYGACAAACGGCACCGCGTCAAAACCAGGGTGTTGAGGAAAACCTTGGAGCCGCTGTTTGACGAGACCTTCACCTTTTACGGGATCCCCTACAGTCACCTGCAGGACCTGGCGCTGCATTTCCTGGTGTTGAGCTTCGACCGGTTCTCCCGCGATGATGTGATCGGGGAGGTGGTGGTGCCCTTGCTCGGGGTGGATCCCAGCACTGGAAAGGTGCACATCACCAGGGATATTGTCAAGAGGAACGTGCAGGTGAGGGGATTTTTGGTTTTTTGTAGGTTGGGGTCCAGGAATTTACATGGTTTAAAAATGGGGGGTGAAAGAAATCATCAGTTGTCAAAAATCGGTAAAAAATTGGTGTAATTTGGGCTCCTCAGTCGCGAAAAATCAGTGAAAAATCAGTGAAAAATCAGTGAAAAATTGGAAATTTGGGCTCCTCAGCCACCAAAAATGGGTGAAATTTGGGCTCCTGAGTCATCAAAAATCAGTGAAAAACCAGTGAAAAATCTGAAATTTGAGCTCCTTGGTCATCAAAAATGGGTGAAATTTGGGTTCCTGAGTCACCAAAAATCAGTGAAATTTGTGCTCCTCAACTCCTTTCTATTTCCAGGTCTGGTTTTATCTCTAGGACCGGTTTTATCCCCAGCTCTGATTTTGGAACATCCTGGGGCTCATTTCCACTTTTTTTTTTCGTTTTTTTTTCCCCAATTTTTTTTCTTTTTCCCCCCAATTTTTCCCAAAAATCACCCAATTTTTAATTTTTTTAAAATTTATTTTTAATTTTTCCCAGAAATGGCTGAGCAGGGTGAGCTGCAGGTGTCCCTGTCCCACCATCCCATGGTGGGAGATCATCCTGGCGCTCATTTTTGGGATCAATGGGGTCTCATTTTCCCATTTTTTCCCCATTTTTAACCCAATTTTTTCCCAGTTTTTTCCCAATTTTTTCCCAAAAATCACGCAAATTTTAATTTATTTTTACTTTTTCCCCAGAAATGCCTGAGCAGGGGCGAGCTGCAGGTGTCCCTGTCCTACCAGCCCGTGGCACAAAGGATGACTGTGGTGGTGCTCAAAGCCCGGCACTTGCCCCGCATGGACATCAGCGGCCTCTCAGGTAGAAAGTATTTACCCCAAATTGAATTTTGGGGAAAAAAATCCTAAATTTTAAATTTATGGGGTTTTTTAAAATGGGTTTTGG